GGTAGGCTTATAAGTTGCTGCGGCAGATTTGAAAAAAAGCGCTAACATATTTTTGACTCTAACTTTTTAGCTATGAATTGTTCAGAAAAGTGGTCAAAGTATAAATTATAGATATTTTTAATACGAGTAATTTGATATATAACACTTGGTACTTAACTAAAAACTTTGTACACAGTTCATGTTTTCATGTTGAGGTCGGTTACTTTTCACCTTGCCCTCGTATATACATATATATATACAAGGTGTCTCTTAAGATGGGTCGGGGCCGCATTGATGATGGAGAATGGATCAAAGGAAACAAAAAATTCTTATACCATGTTGAGATACTCGCTGTAGTTTTCGAATTAGAAAAGGAAACGTGCCAATATGCGGTTAAGCCGCGCCGCGAATTCGTAGGATGGCCCACACTCAAGCGGCGACGGCGCGCAGAGAGGGGGAAGGAGCACTTCGTCGATCCTATTCGAGGATCACAGTACCGTGTAGTACTGTAGATCTCTTTTGAATCAGTTTCAAAAATTCTTTTTTATTTAAGTAAAGAATTATCTTGAATATTAAATGTACCTGAGCCGTCATTTTCAATTGTAATGCTAACATTCTTGTTTGAACAGTTGTTATCACATGCAGTTTCGTCCAAAATACAAATTTCACTGCAGCTTACAGATTTACTAACATTATATACTTCTTCTGACTTTAATGTTGCGATATCGACCTGTACTTTTTCTATGACAAATGGTACTGCATGTAAGTAAGGATGATGAAATCCTATTCCTTGCATAATGTCTTTTTTACTGAAATGCAGACTACAAATTCGGTTTTTATCTTGTTTTTCTCAATTTGCAATTCGATTTTCCGACAGCAACAATCCATTTATACAAACGATTTTCATCATTAAGAGGAAATTTATTTATATAGAATATAATACAGCTTTTCCCAACAATATAAAATTTCAATCACAATTATATTAATTATATTAATAAATACATTTATGGAGCTTGTTTAATGAATAAATAGTACATTAAAAGAGAATGAAAGACTTTATTATATTAGCATTATTATACAAATATCCCGGTAAAAAATTTTTCATATATATATTTAAATAAGTATAAATATTAAATATGTATAAACGTATATAAATATTCATGAACATGATATATAATTATACATGAAATATATCTATATATGTTTATACATCACTTTTTTGTAAAATTATTTTTTAGTGTAATACTTTAGTGTAATAAAAATAATAATACCAGAATATATTTATATTTTATATATTTATATTTCATTATATTTATGTTTATATTTACATATATTTATATTAATAATACACATACATACATAATATTAAAATATTGTATTAGGTGTTGGAATTAATTCGTAGCGTTTTTAATGAAAGAATGTTATTTATTTCACATGAGCATTAAAAAATACATTAATGAAAGTACTTCCCATCACTTGTAAAACGCTACGAATTAATTCCAACACCTAATATTATTTTTCAACTGAATTTGGAAATACTTAATTTTAAAATATTTATTGTCTCTATAATAAATAGGTCATGAAGTACTTATGTAAAAAAATGAACATTACTTCCGATATATTTTATATCGACTTTTGTAATTTATCACACTACAAATTATAATTTTTTTATATTTTTGTTTTTCAGAACATAATAGAATGAAAGGTCACCATAAAATAACATTTGACATTTGTTATAATTTCTATTATGACTAGTAGTGTTTTTTCACATAAATTCACGCGATACTCATAGACAGGATACGTACACACATGGAAACTGAAACAAGGACAGCTTGGAATCAGGTTCATCCCTTTCTATCACATTGAGTCAGCAGTCTATTCATATAAATCTATATTAAAAAAAGGTCAGGTGATTAAAATTGATGAATAGCAAGCTCACGATGCTTGACGCTGCCGTAAAAGTACCTTCAGGGTAAAATGATATTCTCTGTGCTAATCGCTATGTAAAGGAATACACCCTGTGAGTGACAGTTTATCGATGTTGAGAGTGTGGCGACTTGCCATCAGAAGTCCAACGGGACTCGTTCGCGTGAGCATCACAGCCACCTTAAATAGAACATCAATCTAAATTCATTCTAAGCGTCTAAGGCAGGGCCTACACTACATTACCTTACTGGGCTGCGTTCAGAAACATCACTTGTTGGTGTGTTTCGATGACTTCAGTGAAGAAGTAGTGGGAATATCGTGTGTTTTTGGGTGGTGAATGTTCCCGAACGGCTTCCGTGTGGCGTGTGTGTCATCTCAATTCAAAGACATAGAAAATGGATTGCAAGATCCATGTGTCAAAATGGTTGATAAAAATAAGAGAGAGGGATCGTGGAAGACGGCCATCTTTCCATTCAATGGGAGAGAGAATGGGAGAGAGAATGAGAGGGAAATTGGCCGTCTTCCACGGTCCCTCTCTCTTATTATTGTCGACCATATTTGAATACTACTTAGATAAGGATTGCGCAGTCCATTCTCTATGTCTTTGTCTCAATTTCACCTCACTGCTCACGTTTAACCTCGAGCTAAACAATTCACCGGTGAATAAAAGCGGTGGAATGATTGTAAAAAGAAACGACGGCGGTATATGATTGTAAAAAGAAAGGAATATAAGTCATTCCTTCCACGGTTCATTACCGGTTCCTATTAAACATTTCACTATCGTACCGGATAATTATGTGTGCCTTCCAACAAGCGACACAAATGACATAATGGATCATTACATCCTTGTTGTTTGCCAATGTTAAACAAAGATGACATGATCATTGTGTCGCATCGCTTGTTAGAAAGCATACAATGTGTTGCTGTATCGACTTTAGACAATGATAAAAATTTCATCGTGAAAATTCAAGTTAATATAATACTGATTTTACAATGAGTCGGTAGTCTTATGGGCCTTCTACAATAAGCCATAGGTCATAAATTATAAGTCGTAAGTTAGAAATAAACCAATCACAGTAGTCAATTTTTAGTTTCTGACTTCTGATTTATGACTTATGATTCATTGTAAAAGGAACCATATTAATCTTAATGGATGAATTTGATCAATCAGTTATTCTTACAAGTTGGCTATTGGTCAACTTTACTGACTAAGACTTCCGATTCATTGTAGAATTAGCATAACAGGTTTGACAACTAACTATATTCTGATTGTAACAGATCTTATTATTGTAAATCCTTAAAGAAAACTGATATTAGTGATATAAAACTTTAGATGCGGGATGTTGCTTCATCGTCCAAAGATCTATTGTATTAATTCCTGCGAGACTTATTGTCGATCTTAGCACAGTTAGTTTTGTTTTAAATAGTACTGGATACATACAATTTTACAACATTTATACAAATAATCTGTTGTATAATGTGCATAAAATATTATTAAGGGCAGAGCGATATAAAAAGTAATTTAGAATAAAAATAAATAAAAAAATAGTAAAACTTAGACAAATTTTCTAGATTAATATAACTGCTCAAAATTTTCTGACTCAAGAATGCGATGTAATTATTGTAAATATAGAAGTTACAAAAATAGCTCTGAATCATGATGGTACATGGATGGCAAAGATCGAAGAATGATGAAATTTTATCTATAGAAGTTAGATTAAAATTCTGGCTCTACAATCTCAAAAAGCAAATGTAAATATATATCTTATATTTGTTTAGACTAACACTGCTTATATAATTTCGATTGGTCGATTCCCTTATGTACTATGCATTATGCATTATGCAAGTTTGTGCTGCGACCATAACGCACAGACTCCCCTTGTTTTTCGCACGGCGATTTAGTGACACTCGGTGTGACTCTCTCGACGTCCCGACCGATTTCACACTAGTGCACACCGAGTACACACGAGTATTTCCGAACGGCTGTATATTAGTGGCACATCAGTGTTTCCGAACGCCTGATGAGTCTAGTAGTGTGGGACCGGGACGAAATGCCGCAGCTGACCAAAAGCTTCGAGTCAGGCCTCCTTAGTGGACATGAATATCATTTTCGTACAACTGGATTCACATTGGTGATCCCGTGACGTGATCTAAAAACACGCACGTATTTCGGTCCCATAGGGACCCATATCCATAAGTATCTATAGGTATAAAGACGACCACACACACGGTCACACACGCTCGCGCACGCTCGCAATGCTTAATAGTGGCACCGGGCAGCACAGAGCAATACAGAGTAGCATAAAGCAGCATCGAGCAGCACAGGAGCAACAACGAACGACAGGAACGACAACGAACGATAATGAACGCCACCAAGCTACATCGATCACACTACGCTCATGCTTGATATTTATCATTCCGACGCAATCCGTTGAATCACGCCCTCATTGGGGTGGAGTCCTGTGGTGACTCGCCACTAGAGGTCCAACGAGACTCGCGTGAGCACCGCATCTACGTGAATTCCCCTTAAATAGAATATCAATCTTCATTTCAGGCTTAAATAAAACATCAAATTCATTCCAGGCATCTAAGGCAGGGTCCATAGTATAAGAATATAAGATATTTCATTGCGCATAATGGCGGAAAAGTACTAGAACAATCAATCAGAAATTTGTTCAAAATTTAGCGCCAAATTTAAATGCAGTGTTGGTAAAAATACATACATAACAATTATAAAAGCAAAATTAAAATTTGAAAAAATACAAAGCTCGTAAATAAATAAAGAAATGGGGTATGAAATAAAATAATGTTAACGAAATTAATGATAATAATGTTAATAAATGTAATTTAATTCTTAAGATCGGCTAAATGTACGATTAATATACGACTCTTACAATTTTGAACACAACACATGGGCATTTCTACAAATCAAATAGAATACGCTAATTATTTAGAAAAAAAATTGATAAATTACAATAAAGGAAATAGTTTATGAATGAATAAAAAGCACGATTTTTTATAGATATCATTATATATACTCTACTATTGTTGCTACATAAAACTTAAATAATTTTGCTTTTAATCCCTCATCGGTCATTTTGAACTGAACAAACTTCTGGAAAGAATAATGTCAATCAAGAAAGACCCGAGATTTGGTTCACGCACGATGTCCGCTTTTTCGTCACTTTTAACTTAATGTATGTACTTAATGTATACATCCAAGAACTTCGATTCTTTCCCTCGGAAATTTTCATAAACTGAAAAATGACCACTTTTCTACATTAATATTTATAATCCATGCGCGACACAACTAAACCTTACGTCTGTTTACAATTAAATTTGACGTAAAAATGAAATTTTTAAACCTGAATTTTTGAAAATTTTAAAAAAGTAACCGAGGGAAAGAATTGAAGTCCTTGGGTGCATACATAGCAACTATGGCGTAATAGCCATATTGCTTTTTACAATTTTGGATAAAATTGTGATTGGTTTAGGAGCAGCCGCCATTTTGGACTACTGCGCATTCTCAGGAACGAAATATCTTACATTCGTATACCATGATAGAGCCCACATTACATCGCCTTACTGATGAGTCTAGTAGTTTGGGATCGGGATGAAATGCCGCGACCGATCAAAAGCTTCAAATCAGGCCTCCTTAGTGAACATGAATATCAGTTTCGTACAGGCATCTACAAGAGAAAAAATCGAGATAAATCGAACGGAAAAATAATCGGTGAAAAAATTGATAAATTAAAAAAAACTATCAGTGATTTAAACTATCGGTGGTAAACTTTATTTTCAATTAATCGATAAAAAGCACCCAACTCTATGTGCAACTAATTTCAAGCATTAAGATTATATCTCTCTCTTTATGCTTATAGTGCGCAGATTGTTCAATTATCACAACAATCACTATATATAGGACCTACAGTTTTAATACTGATTCCGAATGACGGATTTTTCGAGAAGTGTTTCTGTGAGTAAGGGTACTCTCGGGAGATTGCCGGTCCTTTCCAACGGGAGATACAGGCGTAAATATTTGGTTCCTATCAATGCTTCCAGACATGCCCCGCACTCGCGCATGCGTGTTTGCAGCACAGTGCTGTAGCCATTAGGTTAGGTTAAAATAACGATGTGATACCGTGTCCACGAAGTGTGCGTGCCAAACCGGACAACGGGAGGTGCGAGGAATTCCTTGCCATCGAGTGTCTGACATAACTGGCTCCTATCAGGATCAAACCCGGAATCTCTGGTATAATAGACCAATGCATTGTCTGCCATGCTATGCTTGTACTCTGCTAAATTTTTATATTGTGACGTCAAAAGTAGGAAAATAAATAATAAGAAAATAAATAAAAAATAAAAGTTCCTAGAAAATATATTAATATGAAAATATATTTTAATGAACAACTTACATATAATCTTATGTATAATCGATAGAGCCAACTCGTAAATTATACTAAAAATTCTCCTTTTATATCGATAATTAATAAATAACCATATATCTGGAAATCAATTATGAATAACCAAAAATGAAATAAATTATGTTTACAACTACGAAAAACCGTTAAATTAATGACGTATAGAAATAAATATGATTTAATTTTTTATTGAAACAAGAAGTTTTCAATATTTTATAAACCTATTCTATTTTATAAACCTATAATGGAAAATGTTTTATTGAAAAATGTTTCTTTCAAATAAAATTAGGAAGAATTTTTATTATATGTTTCCTTGCTTTTGACATTGCAATCTGAGATAGTAGTGATAAATGAACAGCCTTATAAACACTGTTCAAACTTTTAAAAATGATTACTTAAAAATAATATGTGTTACATTATATATATTACCAGAAGACGATAGTGTCTCGAGTGAACATACCATCTTTTTATGGTATAAGTATGTATTTATGATTCTCGAGACCCTCCGGCCTACAACATTACTGCATTCACGCACATCCACATATACTCACAAATAAGTTAATATAAATTATATAAAAATTATTGAATTTAAGCTGCAGTAATATATGCAGCATGATATTCATTGTTATCGTATTGTCTGAGACATGTGCAGTGGCGTCAACATTAACTCAAAAGCAGCATCTTTTAAATTTGCACCGCGTAAATTTGCATCTTGTAGATCAGAACCAGATAAATCACAGCACTAAAAGAATAGCATGAATATGTAAGTACATATAGGTATAATAGCAAACAAAAGAAATTTTAAGGAATGTATTAAAATTTTTAGTTTCAAATACAGTATGACGAGACAAAAATACCTCTAAATCGGCACCGGCTAAAACAGCTGATCTCAAAATGCAATTCCTAAGAATAGCATTCTTTAATGTAGCTACTCGGAGGTTGACGGCTGCCATGTTACTGCCTTCAAGATTTGCACCTTTCAAATTTACACCTTCCATATTTGCTGGCAGACCACCAGGATCTTCAAAATTACACGAATGCAGATTGGCTGCAGCTAGATTTGCACATGACATTTTTACGCACACAAGTTGTGCGCCTTGCAAATTGGAATGAGATAAATCAGCGCGCTCAAAGCAACATCCTGATAGATTAGCACCTGCCAGACTACAGTGATGCATAATGGCGTACTATAATATAATGAAAAGCGGGTAAACACAGTTAAGGATTTTTGTTAGAACTATTTCTATCATCTAATTTGTTAGAACTATTTCTATCATTTGATTTGGTCAGTAGCGCATAATACGATTTTTTATTATTACATATATGTACTTTAGAAAAATTCTAGAAACACACCATACAATTATAGGCTGAGCGCTACATTTGATGATTACGTTGAAGGATTGCATATAATTTAATGCAAAAAATTGCATTATACGTTATTAGCTTATCTTTTAAATTATGAAAGTAAACGTACCTTAAAGTTAATATTTCTAAGATCTAATTTCGAAAGATCAGCTCTTACAAAATCAACTCCTTGGAATCTAAGTTCTGCGTTAGTTGGTGTAGACATAATTGCTTTAAGTACATCTTTGCGAGTTAGAGACACAAGACCCTCCTTTTGCAGTTCTTCTTTTTCTAACATTGTAGTAAGGATTCGAATAGCGCCTTCAATGCCATAAAAACAAGCTTCTGCCAAAACTCCTGTATCAAAACATTAGTTTTACTATAACAAATATGTCAATCGTATAAAAACGTAAACAAAATTCATATATACCAGCTACATTAACATTAGAATCAAGTATTATTTGATCATGTCTCAAGTAATTTAACAATGGTTCAAAATAAGTAGGACTTCTATCAATTAGATATGCTCCACTATGATCCTGTCTACTTGGTTGTATAGCATGCTCACTATATCCAGTTTCTGTAAACATTCTATATAAAATGTTGTATTACATTATTTTATAAAACAATTTTCTCTTTTTTCATCATTCATACTCTATATTTAACATGTAGATTTGATATTCAACAACTAGTTTTTATACTTAAATTATTGTAAATTATTGTAGCCTTCATTCGTATTCAACTTTAAACCTTAAATCAACCAATGTTAGTTGCTAAATTATAATTGCAAATGTATCATAAAAAATGATGATACTGAATCAATGTAGGATATTCACGTGAGTATATCGTTTTATTGTTTAAAAAGCATCGAGATATATCCTCTGCTCAAAAAGTACCCGGAATTTTTTAATGAAATGCAAAATTTTTAATTTTAAAATAAAATAATTTTAATTTTAAAATAAATTAATTTTATCCCTCTCCAAAAAAATCACCATTCGAGATATGTATACATGTGCTAGCGAGTAACCGACTCTTCGTACAGCACTTTTCATAGGCTGCTGAAGATATAATAGTCTTTAGTCCCTTCGTCGAATTTTTTTTATGGAATCAATCGAATTTTCTCTATAGTGATAATTTGTGTTTTGAAAACAAAAAAAGTGGCATATCTGGTGAATACAATGCATGGGCGATATTTGTTGTATGTTTGGTTAAAAAGTCACGTACAAGAGATGGCATGTGTAACAGCGTGTTATGCTTTAGAACCAATTTGAATTGGCTTGAACACATCTGATGGTGCGGTCCCATGGTGCGGAATTGGTGCAGTGCGGAATTAGCGGAATCATGATTGATCGTGGCTTCATTCTGATTCCGCTGTTTTCTGCTGCGCAAATTTATTTCTTTTGCGGATTCCGCCGATACTTGCCTGTATGCGCATGCATGTACATGTACTTATAAAAACTAACCTCATTAAGCTGATTTAAATGTCTTCTGCAAGCGCATCTTCTTCTTCTTTTTCTTATTGGTTAGTGGTTCCTATCTCCCATATATATTGAACGGAAACAATACGGCCAGATCACGACGTTGAATTGTACGTAAGCTTTGATAATGAGATCCTGCAGGTTTCGGCGTTGCGAGACGAAATAATTCGCCGTTGAAAACGAAGCTTAAAAAGGCTCTGTCTCTCGCGGCGAGAGACAAGCGACACAGAGTGCCGCTGGGACGGGATAGAGGGTCCGGGGCCGACGCAAGTGTTTGCGCATACGTGTTTGGGGAGTGCCGCGAATTGACACCGCGAATGTTTGAGTTATAATAGGCGGTCACATGCGAGACTAAAGCTTGCAAAGAGGCGACAAATTTTTGCCGAAGACTTGCGTAAGACGGAGTTTATGACTTCAAGAGGATCGAATGGATTGTTCGATGTTAAGCTTCGAAGTGTCGTACGAAGTGGAAGGGCATGAGGTTCTGTGATAGGGCAAAAGAAAATTATATGAACTAGATGAGAAGAGAAGTCGCAGGGGCAAGAAGGATCGTCTATCAAATTTTTTCTGAAAAGACTTGAATTGGAATTACAATGATTGCTTCTCAAACGATTGATAGTGGCAATAGACATGCGGGAGAGATGAGAGTCATGAAATCATGGTTTACCATTTTCAGAATAGAAGTTACCAAAGTAACAAATACCCCTGTCACGAGATGTCTTTCCGATGAAACTCTCAAAATTTGCTTTCAGACTTTTTTAGGAATATGGAATAAATCAAAGTACGGAGCTTTAAAGTTAGTATCTGAACCCTTGCGTATTATCCTTTTGGCTAATTGATCTACCATCTCATTACCTTGTATGCCACAAAGACGAGATCCAATGAAGGAATATATTTCTAAATTTGGTCTCTTCATTTAACGTATATAGTCAATAATATAGTTGTTAGTTTTGTTGTTGTATCCTCACAGAGCGTCGAGGACGTTCTTTGAATCTAAGAAGATTACAATGCGATTTAGATTTCTGTGGATAGCTATAGACGAAACATTGTAGATGACCCAAGCTTCAGCCGAAAACACAAAAGCGGAGGAGGAAAGCTTGAACATGTATCGCAAATCAAGCTGGGAAGAGTAAGTAGCAGAGCTGATGAATGTATCCTCAGATTTAGATCCATCTATATAAAATATGGCTTGAGAGATCAGATCTCTAAGGGTGACGTAAGGGTCTAAAGACGAGCTGGCCTAATTAGAGAGGAAGAGTTTAAGAGTTTTAGGCGGGGATTTAATATAATCGATAGCATGTAATAGTATAATACAATGAAAGGAATTCTGAAAAACAGGAAGTCATTTTTATACTGCCACATACAAAAAAATACGGTTGCTGACGGGAAATTTTTTGGTAGGTATGTATATTGTGAAAGGGTTGTGGCACAATCACAAAGTTCCAAGAGCTTTGTTATGACAGGGTAGTACTTATACCCGTATAGAAATAACTTTAAGGAAATATGTGGAGGCCAGGAATTTGAATCTGTGGTACAAAAGTGATAGTTTAGATTTAGCATTAATGCATTTATAAAGCATTTATGCATTACATTGATTGGGGTAGATACGCGATAACTACAAGCCAATCGCAGCGCCTGGTATCTTTTGTAATTTTCCAAGGTCTTGGTTATTGTTCAAAGCAAAAATAAGAGAAGCATACTCGAAAGAAGTTCGAATCATAGAGTTGTATATATAGAGAAGTAAAGAAGGGCGCCCGACCAAGTAGTTCTAAGGACGGAAATAATAGAGTTTAATTTTTTCTCTTTGTTAATTACATATGCCATATGTTGCTTGCCTGAAAGTTTGGGGTCTAATATTATACCCAGAAATCTAACTATTGAAGAAGAGAGAATATCAGTTTCTCTCAGTGTAACCGAACAGTTAATGTGAAAATTCTTATACTTTTTGGAGAAAATCATCAATTGAGTATTGGAGGAGGAGATCTCAAGATCTCTGTTATTCAGGAAGGATCGAATGTTATTTAAGGAACATTCTATTGATTGTTGGGCGACTCTGGTATTAGCGTGGAAGGAAAATATGACAATGTCATCCGCAAATCGAAACAAGTGTATGTCAAGTGATAAAGAATCGTTGATATCTCTAAGATAAATATTGAAGAGCGTGGAACTGAATACTGACCCTTGAGGGGTGCCTTTACGCGAATGATAGATGGGAGAAAGAGATCCCTGTATCACAAATTGGATCTTGCGAGAGATAATTAAATTATAATGAATTTAATAAAGAGAGGAGGAAAACCCAAATTGATGAGATCTTGGATTAATATGTGAGATAAGACATTGTCAAAAGCGGATAATATCTATGAATACAGCCACAGTGTCCTGAAAAAGGATAGACCTTGTGAATATAAGCGGACAAGATAAGAGTGTCTTGAAACTTAAATTTCCTAAATCTGAATTCGTTAAGAGAAAACGATGAGTCGAGCCAAGCAAGAGATTCCAAAGTCCTATCAGGGATAGTGAGAGTCCTCAGAGAACAGGGGGACAGAATTTATCTATGACTTTTTGAATTTTAGAGGTTATTAATGAGGAGAGAAGACAGAATGAGGCGACGGTTCTTAAACGTTTGAGCATGCATCAGACCTCCGTAGAGGGGGTGCGAGAGCTGAGATTTTCGCAAAAAGTTCTCCAGCTTTTACTCTTAGCACATTGGAGAGTTCTTCGAACTCTCTTAACCGAGTCTCGATATGTTTCGTAGTTTTCAGTAGTCGGAGCCTGTTTGAAGGCTTTTAAGTATGCGACCCGAGACTTAACCGCCTCACCACATTCTGGAGTCCACCAGGTGCAGGGAGAGGAGCGAGCACCAGGAATGTATTGTTTATTGTTGTTGCGAGAGTGTTTGGAGGGTAAGCGATTCCAAGACTTTTCAAAATGCGGCGAATAAATGTGTAATATCCTTCTTCTGTAGAAACTGAAAGAGCACTTGCCAAAGTCAGCAATTTCCCATGCATGTTCCGCTAATCAATGATTTACACACAACCATTGCTCGCGCATAAGGCAAATTTTATTAGAGAAGAAAGAATGGATTTAATTTGCAAATTATATTGATAGAAATAGGGAAGTCGCTGTCCCATGGATCGCACCCGACGGACACATCGCAGAGCGGTGAAATATTTGAGGAAGAGAACACAAGATCAATAGTGGAAGGGGCTCTGATGGGATGATTGAAAAAGGTTGGAATGGAATCAGGACTAAAACAAGAGAGATTGTAAGAGTCTGTCAAATCTGAAAGAAGAGAGCCCGCAGAATTGGTTCTAGAAGATCCCCAAAGAGGATAGTGAGCGTTGAAATCTCCAAGGAGAAGAACAGAATTAAAAGAGTGATAAAAAAAAGAGAGAGTTTGTGATATTTTTAGGAAAGGGGGTATTGGGACGATATATAGTTATAAGAGGAGAATCATTAAAGAAAATATGAATAGCTAGCATTTCGATTGACGGGAGAAGGGATGGTAAGTTTCCCAAGACTTGATATTTTATTGGACTACGTGAAGACTGCCATACTTCTGATGTCTTTGTTATTGGAATTTAAGCGTAAATAATTAAAGCCTCTAATCGAAAAGTTCTCAATGGAATTAAGGCACGTCTCCGCAAGAATAAGGATGTCCACACTTTCAACAATTTTTTCAGGTTTCTTAGAGGCAGCACCGCGGCAGTTCCAGAAAATTAATTTGATGAATTGAGGGTTATGTTGAAGCAGAGAAGAATGATGATGAAGATTATTGTCCATTTTAAATATTATGAATCAATTGATCAATCCATCTTATGGATTTGTCGTAAGCAGTTGCTAATTTGTGGATCAGAAGAAGATGAAGGAATATTGCCATTGATTTTTTGTAACATGTTAGAGAGGATAAATACGATTCGTAAGCTTTGAGATAGAAAAGTTGGAGGGAGTGGTGGAAAGATAAAAGGAGGGAGAGGGGGTGGAAGAAGAGAGAAGATTGATAGGAGTACCCGAGGAGCGGGGGGAGAGAGAAATAGAGTGCTCCTCACCGATCGTCAGGAGTGATAAGGCAAGACCTGTGGGCATTGTGAAGATCTGAGGAACCACCATTGG